GTGGGTCTCCTCAGGGTGCCGTCGGCCAAACAATGTCGGCTGGCGACCCCCAGGGGGAGGGCCTTCTCTGTGGGTGCCCCCACCCTCTGGAACGAACTACCCCCCGAGATCCGGACGATTCCGGATCTCCTTACTTTCCGCCGCGCCCTCAAGACATGGCTTTTCCAGCAAGCGGGCCTGACCTAGGGAGGATTTTACTCAGCGATGATTTTAAGAATAATTTTAATAGGAATAACAGCTTCTAATATTTGGTTTTTAATTTGGTTTTATAGGGGTCTATATTTTTTGTATTTTGTATTTGTACTTGTTTTAATATGCTGTGCACCGCCCTGAGTCCTGCGGGAGAAGGGCGGTATATAAATTAAATTATTATTATTATTATTATTATAATTTATTTAGTTACATTTTTCTATATGGCTATTTTTGCTTAAAATATATATTTAATTTCAGGCTAGAACAGAAGCAGATTTTGGATGCCACTGGCATCCTATAAATATTATAAATATTTACTATAAATATTTCTAAACAATTGCAATGCACAGAATGTTAACATAGACAAAATCATAAAACTTCCCTCCCTGCTCTGTATAGAAACCTTCACAATAACTCAATAAAGTACATTAGATATGAACATATTGTTTTGTGTGTTGTTTAATCATAATTTCTTTATCTGTTAATAGAACTTAGATTAAGGTATTGAAAGGTCATGGATTGTTCTAAAGCTTGCTGGGCCGTGGCCTGTTTGCAACTGGGCTGCATGAGCGGCGGGCTGGCACGCACGTGCACACGCAGCTCGACTTGAGCAAGCGGCGGGCTGGTACAAGTGCACACACAGCTCAACTTGTGTAAGTTGAGCCGCGCGCACATGCACGCCGGCCTGCTGCTTGCTCAAGTTGAGCTGCACATGTGTGCTGGCCCACCGCTTGTGCAGCCCGGTTCCCCTCTCCCCCCTCTCCACTAGGCCACCAAGTGGCTTGGTCACTCAACAGCGAGACACTGGTGAAGCAGGCACAGCAGCACCTGCATTTTCTGCGTCGCATGAGAAAAGTACATCTTCCTTCCCCTATCCTTACCACTTTCTTCTTTTTTTTAAGAGTTTTATTGATTTTTTACAATAACAACCTTAGTGCCTGGTGTACAGCATGTTGTGTTGGTTCATGAAATTTTTTTACAATCAATAATAGCTAATTAACAGTCAATAATAATTAATTTTTATATTTCCATAATTAGTATATCAATTGATAATATATTTCATTGATCCTCTCTTCTTCCAATAGTATTCCCCTTCAGCATTAAACAAATATAATTTTTGATATTTGATATTATTCATATATAAATGATTAAATAAAAACATTTGCTTCTATATTTATACCAACAATAATAGCGTCCATATATAGCATTTTTTTCTTATCAACTTGTTATTTTCATAAAGTCATCTTATTGATTCACCATATATCTTATTTTCATAAATCTTGTTTAAGCTCAATTTCTCCATAATATTCAAACAATTCTTATCAATCATAATTTTCTCAATAATTAACATTTAAATATCCAAATTTTCCACTTAAATATATCATCCCAGTATTTTCATATTTTATATATTATAGAAATACTATACTACTTATCTATCATAACATCTACCTATAACATCTTTTCTAATCAATTTATATTTTACTTCTTTTGTAAAAATTAATTAAATCACTATATATCCTTTTTCAAAGTTCTTATTAAGCCTAATTTCCCCTCAATATTTCAATTATTTATCCTAAATCTTTTCAAACTTAATTGTCTTTAAAGTTCAAACTTTTCCTTCACTTTCATCATCTCAATATTTTTACATTTTGTATCTTATCAAAAAATACCATATTACTTATATCTCTTATCCCACTTATTCTAAAGCCCCTTTATAGCCAAAGTTATTTGTTTATTTAGCCATATTCAAACAAGTGTTTGCTCATATAATATTTCATCTGGTAGGGCGAGTCAAGTCTCTTAAGCCCGTCTCTAATCTTCTTCCTTTGCCAAATTATTTTCCAAATTAATATTTTCGACTTGTCAAACAGTTCTTGTATTTTTGTAGTTGTTGTTAGGCGTAGAGGATACATAATATGTAAGATGTATGCTTTTTGTCTCCCAAACAGTGATTCTCCTAGCAGTGTCCATTTGGTTAAGTCTTCTTTCTTCTCAGGTTTATTTTGACGTTCTAATGCATAAGGTATCTTTTCCATATTTATTGTTGTATCCAAATCTTGTGAGATTTTTCTTGTTTGTATTAAGTTATAATTCCCTTCAACTGTGACTTTGCCAATTAAGTCATTTTTTTCTAGTTCACATTCTGTTATCTGATTTGTTTGTTCATTCTTTACCATCATTCTTTGAATGTTTTTTGATTGTAAATTTAAATTAGAAGTGTTAAGTCCTGGGAATAATGGCGCTTGAGACGAATCATCTCCAACAAGTCTTTATTGTTTGCTTCACTCTACGAACAACCAGAGCAGAGGCACGCAGGCCTCTATTTATACCCTCTGATCCCCGGGCAAGTTCAACCAATCATGAGGCGGGCTTTTCCCGCCTTGCGCATGCGCACAAGGCTGGCGCCGCTCAGTCTGGTCCTGGGCAGCTTCTGCAAATGCCCGGGACTCTTGCAACGTCCCGAGCCTGCCTCTTGCAGGCTCAGGACACAACACCCCTTCCCCCTGGATGAAATAAGATTGCGCCCACATGGACGCCATCCTATAGATGGTAATATAATTAATACTGAAATAAAGTTACACAATGTATAAGGTGTGGGACTGTTTCTTTGAACCAGATCCAGTGACCCCCCCCAACCTTGTTTTATTTAAATACAACCCGCCAGCACATTCAGTCAGCTCTTGCTATGTACCTGTTCACCTTACGTAATCGGCTAGGTATTTGGGAGGGCCTCTTGCCCTGAGTGACCTTCTCAGACCTGGAGAGTTTGTATTGTTATCCCCATTGCCGCTTGCTCTAGGTGAAGTGCCCTGTGAATGACCAGTGACTTCAGCTTGGCTTTCCAGCCCGTCTCCTGTAATTGAGCAGTCCGGGCCCTGTTGGTCGCTAAACCTAGTTGACCAGCCCTCAATGGAGTTATCTAACCCCTGTGAGTTC